GCTCTCCTCTCACAGTCCTGGGCACCGGTCCCCAGGGTGCTGCAGCCCCGCAGGCCGAGCACAGAGTGAGCATTCCCTGTGACACTGAGAGAAAAGAAAAAATGTCCAGGGGGGATGGGCCAGATTTTATCCTATGTCAAATACATTTCTGATTTTTGGGGGCTGGGGGGGGGATTTTTTTTAAGCTACATGTGTTTCTCAAAATTGTGTTTTTAAAATAGAATTTTTAGTGTCCTTTTAAAGTATTCATTTTTTTTTTTTTTAACTCAAAGTAGGAAAAACATCTCTTAAGAACAGCCACCGACCTTGACACGCAGTGACTTTGCTTTGCCTCACGGTTAGGTCAGCGCCAGGCACGTCACTCAGAGCACCCCCGGTGCTCCCGCCCTTCTGTTAGGACAGTTCCTTAGAGCAGAGGCTGTCATTCATGTTTAAGAAGAACCTCCTTAGCCCAGCCACGGGTGACCCAGGAGATCCGGGTTCGATTCCCGGTCAGGGCACATGCCCGGGTTGCCGGCTCGATCCCCCCAGTAGGGGGCGTGCAGGAGGCAGCCGGTCAATGACTCTCATCATTGATGTTTCTCTCTCTCTCTCCCTCTCCCTTCCTCTCTCTGAAATCAATAAAGATACATAAAAAAAAGAAGACCCTCCTTAAAATCTGTGCCTGGCTAACACATTTGTATTCCCCGCGAGTCAGGACCTTCTGGACGACCTGAAGTCGGAGCTGACCGGGAAGTTTGAGAAGCTGATCGTGGCGCTGATGAAGCCCTCCTGGCTCTACGACGCCTACGAGCTGAAGCACGCTCTCAAGGTAAAGGTGGCCGGCGGCGGCTCGCGCTCCCCAGTAGAGCGGCTTTGTGTTGGTGATCGTGTCATCTTTTTTTATATTGAAAATATTTGAATTATTTCTGTGAGGGTTTCTTGGAAAACAAAACCGTGGGAGGCAATGAGGAGGAAAGGAGGGAGAAAATGACACGAGGGTGCCATTGAATTCTTTTTGTATAGTTAAGGCAATTCTAGTGGCNGTGAGGAGGAAAGGAGGGAGAAAATGACGAGGGTGCCATTGAATTCTTTTTGTATAGTTAAGGCAATTCTAGTGGCTATTTAAATTTTAAAATTGTTTACGGCCTTTTCTATCTTATTTTTATGCCTGTTTCCTCATTTTGAGATGTGTCTTATACGTGTTACAGGTTAGATATTTTATCGTTTAAAATAGAAAGTTGGCTGGTGGGGGAACAATAATATCATTAATTGTTATAGGTTAAAAAAATAAAGCTTCAGAGAACTTTCATGTCAAAGAGGGGCCCGTACACCCTCTCCTGGAGGTAGCCGGTGAACTAGTTACGGTTTCATTGTAGCAGACACTGTGGCAGATCCCTCACTGTTTCCCTGACTGGTGCTGGGAATGTGGCATAAACCTGACCCACCGAGACCTGCGTTTGGGCTTGTGGGACAGGAAACTGTTCGCTCCTAAGCGGTTTAGAGTTTGAAGAGGAAAGAAAACAGATTAAACAACAAAGAGATAGCACAGCTCAGGGGTTCTTCGTGGAGGGAGGAGGGAGGGGGGTTGTCAGGTTGGCTACGCTCCTCATTGTCCCACGTGGTTCTTTGGGAACCAACACAATCTGAGGTCACTGGGGCCGAGGTGTCTTTGTGGGCAGCTTCTGAAGGTTGGCAGCAGCTGAAATTCTGCCAGAGCATAGACCTAGGTCCCCCGAGTGCCTGGTTTTTGGTAAAGAAACAGAAATATAAAGAGAAGAAATGCTGAAATAGACTATCTTTTAAAATTAAGCTCGGCTGTATCATTGCTTGTATCTTCTAATTTATCAGCATCGATACGACTTTTATAATCAGAAAAAGGAAACCTGATCAAAATTATTTTTCAAAAGTCCAGAAAGCAGGTCCCAGTTCCCTTGACTGGTTCAGTTCCTACGACGCTGGCCTTGCCGGCGCCTCTGCTCAGGCCCTCCCTGGGCCTCGAGAGAACCGAGTTCGGGGCAGGGCTCCGTTCCAGATACACGTGGCTTAAGGATCAGTGCTCCTCTGATAAGACCTGTAACCTCTCTGTTTGCACACTTACATACAATGAACGTTATTTTTCATTAGACAAAAAGGGATAGAATTGTCTCTGGAAAGAGAATTAATTTGAAGTTTCTTATTTCTGTAACTAATGGCACCCACATACACAGGAGTGACTGTTACATTGGATCCTCTTTATATGATTGTGCACTTCAGGTGATGACTGGTCTAGGAAAATCACTTCCTTTTTAATCTTGTTGACATGTTTTTTTTCTATTAAAAATGAACCTCCACACAGGGAGCTGGGACGAATGAAAAAGTCCTCACGGAAATTATTGCGTCCAGGACCCCTAAAGAACTGACGGCCATAAAGAGTGTCTATGAAGAAGGTACTGGTTTCGAACTACATTTCTCGCTGTCTCCACTGTCCCTCCTTCATTTCTCTAGAGTGAATGCAGGTCCATGGTCACGGGAGGCAGGCCATGGCGTGACTGCCGGGTGAATGGGTGATGCAGGCCCGTGGTCACGGGAGGCGTGACTGCCGGGTGAATGGGCGATGCAGGCCCGTGGTCACGGGAGGCGTGACTGCCGGGTGAATGGGCGATGCAGGCCCGTGGTCACGGGAGGCGTGACTGCCGGGTGAATGGGCGATGCAGGCCCGTGGTCACGGGAGGCGTGACTGCCGGGTGAATGGGCGATGCAGGCCCGTGGTCACGGGAGGCGTGACTGCCGGGTGAATGGGCGATGCAGGCCCGTGGTCACGGGAGGCGTGACTGCCGGGTGAATGGGCGATGCAGGCCCGTGGTCACGGGAGGCGTGACTGCCGGGTGAATGGGCGATGCAGGCCCGTGGTCACGGGAGGCGTGACTGCCGGGTGAATGGGCGATGCAGGCCCGTGGTCACGGGAGGCGTGACTGCCGGGTGAATGGGCGATGCAGGCCCGTGGTCACGGGAGGCGTGACTGCCGGGTGAATGGGCGATGCAGGCCCGTGGTCACGGGAGGCGTGACTGCCGGGTGAATGGGCGATGCAGGCCCGTGGTCACGGGAGGCGTGACTGCCGGGTGAATGGGCGATGCAGGCCCGTGGTCACGGGAGGCGTGACTGCCGGGTGAATGGGCGATGCAGGCCCGTGGTCACGGGAGGCGTGACTGCCGGGTGAATGGGCGATGCAGGCCCGTGGTCACGGGAGGCGTGACTGCCGGGTGAATGGGCGATGCAGGCCCGTGGTCACGGGAGGCGTGACTGCCGGGTGAATGGGCGATGCAGGCCCGTGGTCACGGGAGGCGTGACTGCCGGGTGAATGGGCGATGCAGGCCCGTGGTCACGGGAGGCGTGACTGCCGGGTGAATGGGCGATGCAGGCCCGTGGTCACGGGAGGCGTGACTGCCGGGTGAATGGGCGATGCAGGTCCGTGGTCACGGGAGGCAGGCCACGTGTGACTGCCGGGTGAATGGGTGAGGGAATAAATGAGCGACAATTCAGGTAGCTTTACTCCTTGAGCAAGGGAAAGACCACCTTTTACCTTACCCATAACCGCTTTAGTTATTAGCGGGTAACTATTTTGGTGTTTATAAGGAGCTTCAGATGAAGATGGGGTTTCCTTTTAAATAGGATTTGCCGCTAGTGTATGGATATGCAGGCAGGTCCTCCTTCTATGTTCACTTTAGGATGTAAGTGGTGTTTCTTTCCTATAAAAATTCAGTTTTATGTTAGCAAAGTAGAGAATTTTCTAAAGTGAGAAGAAACCTTGTCAGGTGAGAGTTGCTGAGAGTGTTTGAGGCGGTGCTGCCGTTTTGCCAACGGCCGTGTTCAGATGCTCTGCGCCTGGGCCTGTCTATGGTGTGCCTTACTTTAAAGTGAAAAAAACCTGTCTTCCAGTCTGAGGCACGTTCTGAGAAGGGAACCAGGAAAATTAAATAAAAAGTAAAGGTAGCCGGGAGTTCTTTTCCCGTGAGATTTCCTGTAACAGACCCTTTCCCGCCTGGCGGAGGGCGACCAGACCATCTGGACTGTCCGCTGTCAACAGGCCTCTGCTCCCGGTGCCTGAGCCAAGGAACACGGGTCCCTCTCTCGGCGTTTGTTTGTTCATCTTAGAAATGCCATTGTAACCCAGCGAGTCGGAACAGTGTGGAATTTACAGCAACTAACCAGCTGCCTTTCCAAGTGCTGGTCTTTCTTTCCTGCTCTTTTTATAGCTGGGTAGGCCCCAGCCATGAGGCAGACAGAAGTGGTGCGTGCATCTCAGCTGCCTGGGGCCGCCTGTGAGCTGTATTTGATGTCATAGCCAGGTGTCTCTTTCTGACACTGAGGAGTGAGCCTGTGTGCGGACAGTGACAGACAGGTGCCACGAGGGCATCGACTGCGCGTGATGCCCTGCTCAGCCACTCCGCCGGGCGGGGCACCGGGTCTGGCTGTGTGCGGGCTGCCACGAATGACAGAGAAGACACACCCAGCATGGGTCCCGTCCTCAGGGCGTTTGCAGCCCACTGAGGGGCGACTCGACTTAGGAAAACGGCAGTTAGAACGGGATAGTAGAATTCAAACTGACGTCAAATATCAAAAGTATTTAATGCAGGAGTTCAGAGAAGAGAGGCCATCGTGGCTCTGGATGTTGGGAGAGCCTTCGAGGTGCAGGGCGCTGAGCAGGGTTCCGAGGCCAGGTGGGCTTGGGCAGGGGAGGAATGAAGGCGTTCTTGGTCACCCGCTGTCTGCAGTGTCACGGAGACCGGGCTGCCGTATTGAAGGAACAGAGCAGGACCGTGCGGAGGTAAACTGCGGAGGTGCGGGGAGTCCCTCAGAGCAGGATTCGCACAGCTGGGCTAGAGGTTTGGACTTGAATCAGAGGCACGGCGGTTCCCGAGTGGGCGCCGAGTGTTGAGGGGTCGGGGCGGAGGGAGGTCTGCGTCAGGAGGCTGGCCAGGTGGCCGTGTGTGCGGGTGGGGGGCGGTAAGCGAGGCAGTTGTGACCCATCTCTGTGGGTGGCAGGTTCGAGGGACTAACTCAGACGGGGAATCGTCTGTGAAAGGATTTGATGGTTTTGATGGTTCGTTATAGATAGGTGCTGGAGTAGAGGAAGGAATGAAAGATTCCTTTAAGGTTCTGTATTTGGGTCACTGATTGAAATAAACATATAATCCTCTTTGGACCTTTTTAAATAGAAGTTTCAGGCTTTTAAACTTTGTCTGCTTTCACATAACGCTGAAATATTTAAGCGCCTTGGATCGGACCTCCTCCCTCCAGTGGGGGCTTCCGGGAGCTGGTGAGAGGGCCGTGGCTCCTGTGGCTCCGGTGGCCCCCCTCCCCGCCCACGGCCTCTCGTTGAACAGCCGCAGGCTGTGGTGGGAAGGGGCACATTGGAAACTCACTGCTGTCCTCAGTCAGCTTTATTTGCTTCAGAGGAGAAGTATTGTGTTAGCGGGAGGAACAGCTGTGACCGAAGGAAGAAAACTCAGACTGTCAGAGCAGCGATTTTCAACTGTGTGCCGCAGGAATTTTTAAAACACGCAGCACCTGACTATTTAGTCGGGGGCCCTGACCGCTTTTCCCTTAGATGGTCAAATAAAAAAAATGACGACAGCTGCCCTGACCAGCGTGGCTCCGTAGCTAGAGCGTCGGCCCGTGGACTGAAGGGTCTCGGGTTCGATTCGGTCAAGGGCATGTACTGCGGTTGCAGGCCCGGTCCCCGGCGCCGAGGCAACCGGTCGATGTGTCTCTCTCACGTCGATGTTTCTCTCCCTTCCGCTCTCTGAAAAGCAATGGAAACAATATCCTCTGGTGAGGATTAAAATAATAAAAAAAGGTAACAGCCAACATGAGACTACCTGTCAGGAGTGTGCGTGAATCAAAATCATACCTTTTTTTTTTTTTTTTTTGTCAGATCGGCAAAAAATAAATGTTTTCTGGTGTGCCTCAGAATATTTGTAATTAGTTTATGTTAGTTTGTGTGTGCGGAGAGATGAAAAGGGTTGCAGACCGCTGGTTTAGAGGATGGCAGACTCTGGAGACGAACCACGTGAACCGCCTGGAGGCAGGCAGGCCGAGCGGAGCACTCGGCCGACTGTTCGGAGGCCTCCGGGGCCGTGTGTCTGCCGACTCGGAGCCACGTCGGCCCAGCGCACTTCCGAGCGGCTGAGGCGGACTCAGGCTGGAACTGAGTGCTTCTGGGCAACCCGTCTGTGTTCACGCAGCCGCTCGCTCTGAGCCTCGGCCTCGACGGCGCTCAGGGCAGGGCAGAGAGCACTTAGCTGAGCAGATGCTGCTCCCTCTGAGTCTCTTCCGCTTGATGAAGGGGCAGGGATCTCCTTCCAGTTGAAAGAAGCTGTAAATGAGCCTGACGCTGTTCTGTTGCAGAGTATGGCTCGAGCCTGGAAGACGATGTGGTCGGGGACACCTCCGGGTTCTACCAGAGGATGCTGGTGGTTCTTCTCCAGGTACTGGGCGGACGCTGTTTACAGCTGATTAAAAAAATCTAGTTAAGCCAGGCTACTTAAAATGCCTTCAGTCACTTCTGGTGCTTGCTCGATTCTGCCTGTGCGGGGTGTGTGTGTGTGTGTGTGTGTGTGTCGGAAGATCTGACCGGAACTCGTAATAGCTAACTCATAGCTAACTCAGTTTTTTGGGTATCACTGTCCTCTTTTCGTCATAGAATCTAAAATTAAGAGGTTGGACAGGGCTGTGTGACCATGTGAAATATTGCAGGGTTGATATGATCTCAGTAAAAGTGCATTATTCCTAAGGAAAGAAAGCTTGGTGTGTCCGTTTCTCCTTCGCTCGGAGGTGCCCCTGTAATTCAGTAACGTGACATACTCTCTCTCACAGGCTAATCGAGACCCGGACGCCGGGATTGATGAGGCGCAGGTTGAACAGGACGCTCAGGTGAGCGGGACCGAGTCCGTGAGGGCTGTGGCATGACATATAAATGAAGAGAGTCCGTGCTCATGACCAGTCTCAGTGGCATGTTAGGGCATCTATAGGGTCTTGCAGAGCACAAGGCCTATGTAGCGAGTGCATTCCTTTCATTCTGATGTGGCCGACAACATCTTTCATCCCAAAGCTGAAATGAAGTAAAATAAATTACAAATACTGAGTTCCACCTAGATTAGGCTGTTTTTCTGGGATTATGGAACATTCACCAAACGGAGAATTTGACAAAAACAAAACAACCTCGAGGTTATGGATCCCGCCGCCAAGGAGGCAGTAGGTCTCTGGGCAGCGGAGGGTAAAGAAGAAAGAATTTTAGTGATAAACGATATTTAGTATACGGTGGGCCGCAGGTGACTGCAGGCGGGGGACGTCCCCCCCCCTTCGATGGAGTTCCGAATGGGTTGTTTCGCTGGGTCGCTGCCTGGTTTTCAGGGACTCCCCAGGGAAACGTGGCGCTCCCGTGGTGTTCAGACCCGTCACCCCAGCGTGGTTTACCCCGTAACCAAACGTAGGAGATGAGTGTTAANCACTGTCACCCCAGCGTGGTTTACCCCGTAACCAAACGTAGGAGATGAGTGTTAACAAAGTTGAAACACGAGGCTTGAGAGCAGGAAATTGGTAACAAGGGAATTACTCGGGTTCTTAGAACCGTAGACGGTAGTTCTGTCTCTGGTCTCGTGTTTCAGTTGATGAAATAAATACGCAATCAGGCTGTTCGCCCTGCGCCATTGAAGCAGGAGGAGCCGCGTCCGCTCCTCCCGTGGACTGTTTCCGTGGAACAGCCGCGGGATGTGTGCGCCGCCGACTTGGCTCAGAGCAGAGAGGAGCGTTGTTGTTCTGGGGGCGGGTTGATGTCGTCACGGCTGTGGGATGCCGTCCTCTCTCTCTTCCCCTGGGGGACAGTCTCTGTGTCCTTGGTTAGCTTCTCTCTGTCCCTTCCTCTGCCTGAGCAGGGTTATGGGAAGCAAGGTGACTGTGCTGTGTGAGGCTGCGGATCTTCACCTCGCTTCCAGTGGTTTCCCTCCTTGGAGCCTCGCTGTCTGCGCGGCTCAGACTCCTCACCTGGGGTCCGCCCTCCGCTGCAGGTTCCCACGGGTCTGGGTGGGCCTGGCATCTTGCATTTGTCACAAGCCCTTGGGTGATGTCCATGCAGGTCCTAGAACCACACTGAGTCCTGAGGCCGTACAGGTGGCACTTACCTGTCATGCAGAGGGTGTGACCATCCAGAACCCTGTACATCTTAATCTGCCTCAGGAAGTGTCCCCTGAATAGAATAGCATCCGGACCTTCCCTCCCCGCTCAGTGCGTGGGAGCAGCAGGACGGGCGACCCTGCCATTCACCTTTGCTTTTAAAGAGTGTCTTTATCAGTTTCTGATAACTGACAGCAGTGATCCTTCCAGCTTTATAGAAAGGAACCCCCATTTGTTTCTTGAGGCGAGGGCAGTGGACTGTTTCACTCTCGGGAGTTTAACATTTCTTCTTGGAGAGGAAGCCGGGAGCTGAAGGGCCCTTTCATAAGCTTGTGACATTTTTTCCCTGCTGATACCAGCCCTGAGGCATTCCTGCTACTTCAGGGCTTGATAAGCCTCAGTGAGTCCTCCCCCGGGAATCACATGTGCTGAGAGAGCCCACTTCACTTTTTACTGTGTGACGTGTCACCTGAGCTCACCTCCTCCCCTGCCACAGCCTGGCCTGTGCCCTCCCCGGGGCGAAGCTGGCCTCCGGGAGGGGGAGGCGGGAGGCGGAGGGAACCTGCCTGCCTCTGTTCAGTGTGTGCATTATGCAAGCGGTAGAGTCTCCACTGCCGACCCTGTAGAAACACTCTTCCTACTCTGCAGGTGAGGACACTGAGGCTCAAGGAGACGTTGAGTGCCTCATCTAAGACCCGCAGACGGGGGACCAGGCCTCTTTTGACTTGGAGGCCTGTGACCTTTGCACTGAACCAGAGGTTATCAGACTGTGCTTGGGCTCAACGCAAAGCCCCCCCCCCCCATGATGAGGGAGGGTAGGGTCCTTCATCCAGACAGCTCCTCGGATACGGGCCGCTGCTGGGAGCAGAGAGGGCCCTCCCGGGACGGGACGGGACGGGATAAGACGAGACGAGACGAGACGAGACTGCTCAGGGTGTTTGCTTCCACGAAGGTCCTGTCAACATTATTGCGTGTGATTCCTGAGCAGTGGCTTTCAGATCGATATTGATCCCAAACACAGTTCCAAGGAAATCAGGAGGCTGTGGTTAAAATAGCCATTTCAGCAGTTATTCCATACGGTTGTGGCATACATCCAGCTTCTCTGCTGTCCCTGCTCGGGAAAAGTCTTAGGGTGCGGGCCAGTGGGTGAGAAGGGAGCCTCTCCGGGACCAGCGATGGTGTGCAGGACGCCCCCGGGGTGACTGTGTGCACCTTCTCTATATGCAGACAACGCAAATTCACGGCGATGGAATTTGTGGCAATGTTCACTTCACTGCTGGGAGGCGTCTGTAGCTGTGACGTGCTGACTCCATGGGGACTCTCCAGCTGTGAAGCGCATGGTCATGTGACCGGGGTCGAGAGTCTTTATTTTTATCATTAAGATAATTTCAGAATCGAGTGTAAAGGTGACTCATTCGTTTCATTCTCTGGAAATAATGGATCAATGCTGCTACAGCCTGTCTTCTCGAACACAGCGGGGCCACGGCGCTTGGTCACTGCCTGTCCGTTTGGTTTCCGCTGTGGGGGAGGGGCGGCTCCCAGTCGAAGTCTCAGCAAATTGCCTTTGTCTTGGCCTAACAGGTGCACTTACCTTGAAATGAATAACTGAAAGGGCAGTGTAGGCGTTTTAAAGATTGCTTCTCTGGGTTTTAAGAAATTACCCGCCTCTCAATGAGTGGGCTCCGATTTAATGACGCTGTTTGTACGTGATTTCATGTTTTCAGTAGTTTTATGGATACTAGAAAGTAAACATTCTTTCCGTGGGTAAAAAGTACATGTGGAACTCGAATCATCCAGCCAGTACACGTCGGTGCCTGCTAGAGAGGCCGCCCCTGGGCTCTACCGGCAGCCTTTAAAAAATTCATTGTGGCCTTTCAGAAATGTGAGAGCGTTTTGTAGCTAGCTCTGCTTAAGTTTCGGCTGTGGAGGGAAAAACAGGAGGTGACTTTCTATCAGGTGTTACTGAACACAGAGCAAGAAAACAGAAAAGCAGATGCCTCAGCTCCTGGTTCGTTCCCTCCCAGCCTGTGAGTACCCGGGTGCTCAAAACTCTCTGCCAACCCCACCAGTGCCCCGGAAAGACCGAAGTCACGGCAGACGCGGGCGCCGTTTCCCTGGCGCCTGGGCTGTGCGTTAAGCTTTGACAGAGGGCAGTTCAGTGGCCGACTCCTCAGTAGCTCCAGACACAGCTCCACCGGGTTTCAGAGTAGGAAACGTGAGAGTCAAAAAGTATCAGATGATGAATCAGCTGAATTCATATTCAGGGAGTGGCCCAGGGGTTGAGCATCGATCTACGAACCAGGAGGTCACGGTTTGATCACAGTCAGGGCACATGCCCGGGCTGCGGGCTCGATCCCGCGTAGGGGGTGTGAATGAAGCAGCCGATCAATGACTCTCTCTCATCACTGGTGTTTCTATCTCTCTCCCTCTCCCTTCCTCTGAAATCAATAAAAACATATTTATAAACATATATATATATTCAGGGAGTAAAACCCAGGTGCAATTAAGGACCTGGAAACGAGAGGAAGGAACGGTTTATTCACCAAGGTTGAAATCTTCACAGACGCTGTTTCAGGCTGGAGAGCTTAAATGGGGGACAGACGAAGAGAAGTTCATCACCATCTTGGGAACGCGAAGTGTGTCTCATTTGCGAAGGGGTGAGTGAAGAAAAAAAAGCGTGATACAGATACTTCGTTTAATTTTGGAAGTGCAGAGGCCAGCACACCTGCTGCGTAACAGGCACTTCCAGAATGGGTTCGCTTTCGTATTTCTTCTTTTTGGTGACCTTGAGGAATCTCATAATTCTCTTTGCTGCCGTTGTAGCTTTTTCAAAACTAGAGACCCTCTGTCCACCCGTTGCTCTGAGAGGGAGAGGTGGGCTCTAGATTGTCACTCTGAGTCACAAGTCACTGAGCTGTGGCTCCCTACAAGCATTTCTTCTAACAGTGGTAACCAAGACCTCGTCTCTGAAATTCATCAGTACTTGTGGTATCAGGCGGGAATGAGTTCAGTGGCAGGTGACAGAAAACCCTATTAATAGTGGCTTTAAAAACTGGGCTTTCTGTAGTAGGATTCCTTGGCTAATTTGGCAAGATCTGGGCCCTTTCTGTTTTTCTGCTCCACTGTCCTTAGCGTTTTGGTTTACTTTCTTATGCTTGGTACCTCATTGTCACACGATGGCTGCTGTTGCTCCAAACATATCAACCATTTTCACAGCAGGAAGCAAAGAAAGGTGTAAGCTAATCATATCTATGACTTTTAGTAAGGAAAGAGAAATATTCCTTAGAATCCCTTCCAGGAGATTTATCTCTAGGTCCCATTGGTTATAACTGGTAAGGAAGGGCTTGGAAATCAGGGAACAAAGCATTTTTAATCAGTTTTTTAGGGCTTGGCACATTGAGGCTCTGGACAAAGTAAGGCCTCTGTCAGGAAGGAAAAGGAGGAGATTTGTGTTTGGAAGGACAGTATCTGGTGAGAGTAAATATCTTCTCTCTGGGAAGAGTGATCCTTATGTAATTAAATCATTTTTCTGTTCTCCAGTGTTTGACAAATACATGACTATATCAGGATTTCAAATCGAGGAAACCATTGACCGAGAGACTTCTGGTAACTTGGAGCAACTGCTCCTTGCTGTCGGTAGGTAATTGTACAGTGTATATGACATTTATGGTATTAAGAGCTTAAGTAGCTTATTCAGTTCAAGCTGTGTCTGAAAATACCTGTTTCTTTATAAGAAGAAGAACTTGTGATATTTGGGTGACACAAACTCCTAAATTTCCAACTTAATGTATCTTTTGATGTTGGAAATATATGATTATCTGGTGAGTTCATCTAATGCTATGGAAATGCAAAGAGAATTGTTTAAAGATCACTTTGAAGCTCCGTTAAACGTATTACTGTTTCATCATGAACCCAAAATGTGGGCATTATCTCAGGCCTGAAAGGGTTATTTCTGATGCTGTGGAACATTAATTTTCTTTTCAGCACCGTCCTCACAGCTCTGAGGCAGGCTGAGAAACTGGCATCTGACTTAGGAAAAGTATCTTTGATATATTGGGAGATGCGACGATGGCTGTTTTCAGATGAAATAATTTGGAATTTTATTTTAGCTACATGTTCAGAATAATCTGGAAAAATTGGAGAACCGAGTTGGTGCAGTTTATTGTAGTATCGTACACTCTCCAAATCCAGGGAAGGTCTAGTGGGTGAGTGCCCAGTGGCCCCAGCTTTCGTAAGGTTTGGAGTGGACGTGTCTGCTGTCTGTTCCGAGTATTTGGTGTTGTGCTCCTGTTTTTGTGCCCCCTGTCTGTCTTCTGGAGGAGAAGCTAGGACCCGCATGAACCAGCCTAACCGCAGCCTTTCATTTCAGTCCGTGGTTAACGGATTTAATAGAAAACTCTTAGACATCTCTTTGTGATTAGAACACATAAAAATGATAGCATTTGCAGTCACTGGTGGCTGTTTTTTTTTTAAAGCATTGGAAAAGAGAGTTTACCCCCCTTCCCAACGCCCTTTCTCCATCGAAGGATTATTTTCGTATCGTAAGGAATTTTCATGCCATAGTTCCTGAAGCTCAGCAGACTGAGGTCCTAGCAGCCCTCACAGGAGATGGAATTGACAGGTCCCTGTTCAGGGAAGGTGTCCTTGCTGCATCAGTTTACCTGGGTGTTTCTACTGAAATGGGTGTCTCGTGCCGCTCTGTGTGCAGCGTGGATGGTACAGAATGCAGAGGGAATACTTAGGTCACGGTTACAGGGGACAGTCCAGGGGCTGTCGCAGGCCAGGAGTAGTCAGTCACCTGTGTTACTGGCTTGACTATCTTGGAATGAGACTTCCAGGGTGTTTGTATAATTCCTCGGGGATGAAGAAGGTTGTGACATAACAACCAAAGCTACCAAAACTGCTAGAGAAGAAGGCGCTCCAGGACAGCGTGGCCTCGGAGACCGCGCCCTGCCGGTCCTGCAGCCCTGCCGCGCACAGCTGGGGACCCGAGGGAGGCTCCGGCCGTGTCTGTGAAACACTCGCGGCGAGGGGATGCGCTCGGCTCACGGCGAGCCGGTCTGTAGCCTCGTGTAGAAGTAGACCCATAAGCCTGAGGCAGTCTGTGATTTTTAATTACTTAGTCCTTTCATATCAGAATGGCCTCTGACGTGTTTTACTTACTTTCCCAGTGAAATGCATTCGAAGTATCCCGGCCTACCTTGCGGAAACCCTCTACTACGCCATGAAGGCAAGTGCCCACCTCGGGTCTCTTACCTAATCCGTGTATCTCTCTAGTTACTGTCTTTCTCCAAGTGCAATGATGTTTTAGATGGTGGACTGTGGGATGTCTTTCCCTCCTAAAACAAGTCAACTGCTGTGGACTTGTTTTACTTTATCGATTCACCCAGCTCGGGAGCGCGATGCTGATGGGTGTCTGTAAACACGTGCCCGTCTGTCCTTTTTCGCAGGGCGCTGGGACCGACGACCATACCCTCATCAGAGTCATCGTCTCCAGGAGCGAGGTCGACCTGCTCAACATTAGGAAGGAGTTCAGGAAGAACTTTGCCACCTCTCTCTATTCCATGGTTAAGGTAACAGAACCTTTCTCTATGTTCCGTTCAGAAACCCCCAGCAGCCCACCATGGCGCAGGCAAGATGTGGCTGCAGGCCGGGTGGACCAGTCCTGGGGCTAAGTTTAAAACAAGCGGAACGCGGAGAGCTGTGCGGGAAAGCCAGGCACTCGGTGTCCTGGAGTCCGACGGTGGTTCCCAGGTGGAAGATCGCCTCCTGGTGAGGCCCGGGCTCCCAGTGAGCCTGGAAGCCTGTTTATTTAGGAGCGGCGACCGGTGACTCAGCGGCCCCGGCCCTGGCTCTTGACAACAGTGTGTTTGTTCTTTCTCTCCGTATCATTCCTCCCGTCTTTCAGGCCCGGCTTCCTTTTCTTGATTATCTGTTATCACCTTGTCTCCGGTTCATAGTTCAGGAAAGAACCGACCAGGTCATAGCAGGAGCTTAGGGATCACTACAGTTTTTGTCTTTGTAACAGCATGGGACACGGTGGCTTATAATTAAATTTGGCTTAAGGCCTTTTGGCTTTTTTCTCTCTCTTCTCTCTCTCCCTCTCCCTCTCCCCCTTTCCCTCTTCCTCCCCCCCTTTCTCTCTCCCTCTCCCGGCTCCCCCACCGCCTCTCCTACTCGATGGAGGGGAGCTCGGGCTTGGTGCAAAACAGCATCCCAGCCGAGCCAGCTTTTGACGTCCTGTGTGCGGTGTGGCGAACGTGCTTGCGTAACTTGAAGCGTCAGCTCGTCACACACATCTGTGCACGAGCCAAGCAGAGGCTGCCCTTCCGTCGTGAAGGTGAAGCCGTGGCAGCCGGGCAGTCCCTGCCTCGCCCTCAGCAGACGTGTGCGTGTGCTGCACACCTAGAGTCTGCCCAGAAAGCTGCTGGATTTGAGCGCGGCCGTGAGAACGCCCCTGTTCTCTGTGGCCCGAGAGGGGAGGCCACGCTTCTCCCTCTTAGACCTGGAAGTTAGCAGTTATCTCGGCAGGAAAGCCCGCAGAGCGTTCCTGCGGTGACAGTCCCAGAGAGATCACCCACTTGGGAGAAAAGTCACATCAGTAAAATGTCTTGCCGGCTATTTCTCACTTTTTGTTTCCTGTGGCTTCTGTGAGTCGTGGAGGTAACAGAGAACTTTCCGGTTTCAGGGCGATACATCCGGGGACTATAAGAAAGCCCTCCTGCTGCTCTGTGGAGGCGAAGATGACTGAAGCACCCCCAGATGAAGGACCCCCGTCCCCTGCCCACCACCGCCGCCGCCTTCCTCAGCACCGCTCACTGCACAGTGCCGGCCGGAGCCGACACCCCGCCTCACCCCCTGGATGCCGGAGGCCGGCTCGGCTCGTGGGAGCAGGTCGCCGGCCTCTTTCCGCTCTTCCCCTCCCGTCTGTCTCTCTGACTGTTGTAGTCCCCAAGTCCACCTATGTTAGTTACTGAGACTAAAGTCTGCGTCACTATGTTCTTTGCCTTAAGAGGTCCGACCGCTCTTAGCCGTTTCAGCGCTTGCCTGATGTACAGTGATAACCGTATTACCTAAACTGGAAGCTTAGCCGTGAAGTTGTGAACACCCGGGCGCCTCATTAACCACGTAGGCCACTATGTTACCTGAGAAATTCTGGTGGCTGCCTTCAAAAGATTAACGAAAAATAAACTTTTCCTTCCCCTACGTTATGTGTGGGTTTGTGTTTAGAAAGTTTAACTTATTGAACAGTGAGGGGTGTCCGTTGACAGCTCACTGTGCAGTTGGCTTTGTGGGTGAGAAACCTGACTCTCAGCAGCGTGGACTGAGCGGCCCCTGCAGCGTGGAGGGGGCGGGGAGGGGTCTCTGACCCAGGGACTGAGCGGCCCCTGCAGCGTGGAGGGGGCGGGGAGGGGTCTCTGACCCAGGGACTGAGCGGCCCCTGCAGCGTGGAGGGTTGGGGAGGTTTCTGACTCATTGGCAGCACGTTTCTATGACGCTTAGGATGCTTAGTAGAAACGCTAACTGTAAAACTTCACGTAAAAATTGAGAGGGTTACTTTTTCCTATGAGTAACTTGTGTTTGCTATTTTCTTTTTTCTAGTTTATTTACTTAAAAAATTTTCAACTACAGTTGACATTCAATATTATATTAGTGTCAAGTGTACGGCATAGTGCTCAGACATTTATATAACTAACAAAGTAGTCCCCCCAGTAAGTCTTGTACCCACTTGGCACCGTACGTAGTTATTACAGTATTATTGACTACGTGCCCTGTGCTGTGCTTGACATCCCCACGACTGCTCTGTACCTGCCGATCTGTACTTCTCAATCCCTTCACCTTTTTCGCTGGCCCCTCAACCCCCTCCCATCTGGCAACCGTCAGTTTATTCTCTGTGTCTATGAGTCTGTTTCTGTTTTGTTTGTTCATTTATTTTGTTTTTTAGATTCCACATATAAGTGAAATCATATGGCATTTGTCTTTCTCTGTCTGACTTATTTCCCTCAGCATAATGCCCTCTAGGTCCATCCATGTTGTCACAAATGGTAAGATTTCGTTCCTTTTTTATGGCCGAGTAATATTCCATTGTATACATGTGCCACATCCTCTTTATCCAGTCGTCTATCAATAGACTTAGGTGGCTTTCGTATCTTGGCTGTTATAAACAGTGCTGCAGTGAACATAAGCGTACATATGTCTTTTCAAATCAGTGTTTTGGATTTCTTCAGAGAAATACCCAGTAGTGGGATTGTTGGGTTTTGCTAATCCAGTACCTTTACTATATATTTACCTTTCCAGGGAGGTTTAAACTTTTATATGTTTTCTTGTTCCTAATTAGTGCCCTTTCTTTTCATCTTAACAAAGTCCCTTTAACATTTCTAGTAAGTCCAGTTCAGTGGTAATGAACTCCTTAGGTTCTGCTGGTCTGGAAAACTCTCCCTCTCCTTCAATTCTGAAGGACAGTTTGCTGGGTAGAATATTACTGGGTGGCAGTTTCTTTTCCCAGCCCTTCAAATATGTCGTGCCACTTCCTTCTGGCCTGCAAACTTCAGCTGAAAAATCTGCTGATAGATGGGGCTTTCCTTGTTCTTGGCAAGTTGTTTTTTTAATTACAATGAGTCTTGGTGTGGGTCTCTCTGGGTTCAGCTTGTTTGGAACTCTCTGGGCTTCCTGGACCTGGATGTCGGTTTCTTTTCCCAGGTTAGGGACGTTTTTAGGCATTATTTCTTCAAATAAATTTTCTGCCCCTTTCTCTTTGCTCTTTCTGGGACCCCACCCCTGTCACGTGAATGTGGGTTAGTCTGCTTGATTCTGCCCCTTAAGTCCCTTAAGCTGTCTCTACTCTCTTTCATTCCTTTTGCTGCTCCGAGTCCCACTGGTCCCGTCTTTGAGGTCACCGACCCCTTTTTCTGCTTCATCTAGCTGCTGTTGAACCCCTCTGTTGCATTCTTTACTTTCAGTTATTCTTCAGCTCTGTGATTGCTCTTTAGTACCTTATGTTTTCTCTCTCTTTGAAATTCCCCCTTTGTTTATTCTTCGTCTCCTGAGTTTGGTGAGCATCTCTCTGCTTTTTGAACTTGTTATGAGGTAAGTCATTTATCTCCATTTCATTAAGGTTGATTTCTGAGGTTTCATCTTGTTCTTTCGTTGGGAACACAGTCCTCATTTTCTTTGGCTCTCTGTGGTTTTTATGCATTAGGTAAAACAGCCACCTCTCCCGGTTTTGTAGGAAACCCTGCCCTGGCTCGGGGCTGCTTCTCAAACCTTCGTGATTGTCAGCAGCCTGTTGTATTCCTGGTGGCTCCCAGTAGCTGAGGGTGTGCCGGGACCTGTCAGTGTCCCAAAAGGGGAGGGCCCCAGTCAGCACCTGGATTCAGGCTCTTTGGAGCCAGACCCTTAGGCAGCAGCTTTTAAAGGGTGCAAGTGTACCCCTTCCAGGGGAAGGCCGGGAGGTGGGCGTTTCTGTCTGCTCCCTCTGTGCTGAGTCTTGGGGTGATGGCCAGTGAAGAACTCTTTCTTTGTTTGCATTTCCCTAAACTTGTGAACCTAATCCCCCTTTGGCCACCAGAGCCAGGCTGTCAATGGATGTGTCCTCTGGCTGGCAGTCACAGAAACCGGGGTGCCAGAGGTGTGTACGAGCTCCTTTCCCGAAGAGACACAGACACAGGCCGCCGTGGGCGGGGCAGAGGGAAATCGTGAAGGCGGCGCCCACAGGCCTCGCTGGTCTGCAGAGGATTGCAGTCAGCCCCTAGATGTCTTTAATTAGAAGCCTGGCCATCAGGCTGCAGCTATGATGAGCTAGTAGCCCCTTCCACAGAGAGACTAGGGGTGCAGTTCAGTGTGCTCTCTGCTGTGCCCTGGGGGACGGAGGATGCTGGTGGAGACCTGTCCTTGGCTTGTAACAGGCCCATGGGACCCAGGAGCACAGCCCTGTGGGCTGCCAGAGCCAGGTGATGAAGGAGGGTCCCCTGGTCGGCAGGCGCAAACATTGTGGCCCCTGCAGGAAGGCGGAGGCAGAGTGCGAAGGTGGCACCCGGCTCCGTCTCGACAGCACCCCAGTGTCCTAGGTAGGCTGCCCAAGATGAGGCGGGAGACCACTCTCACGGGCCCTCCACAGGACCAGGTGTGTCTCAGTCATGTCTGGGCACTGTCCCGGGGTGGCTCTTCCAAAGAACTGTTCGTTTGTTGTCCCATCAGACCCAGGAACACACGCTGCACTGGCCTCCAGAGCCAGGTGGTCAAGGGGCGTCCCCTGGGCGGCAGCCACAGAAACTGGGGAACCAAAAGCGTGGGCAAGCTCCCCTCTGGGAGAGGCTGGTGCTTGAGTGCGGCCGAGGGAGAGCGTGAAGCTGGTGCTTGTCCTCCGGGTTCTGGAGAGAATTAGCCTTCGATGTGTGTTCAGTAAGAAGCCTGCCTCTCGGGCCAGTGTTGTGAAGACAGGAGACAGACTGGGAGCCTCTCCGCTGTGCTGTAGGGAGGTGGCTGGTCAGGAACCCTTTGTCCATTTGTTCCATTTCTGTGGGACCCGTGAGCATAAGCCTGCTGGCCACCAGAGCCAGGTGATGGAGAGGTGTCCCCTGGGTCCCTGCAAACCAGGGCAGTGGTGGAGCGAACAGGCTCCTCTCTGTAGACCCCAGAGGCCTGGGCAAGGCAGAGGTTTGTTTGTGCTGCTTCTGCCTTCGCAGGTTTCAGAAGCCCCCGAGCGGCGTGTCCTTTAGAAACCTGCCCTCCTGCTGACACCTTAAGATAAGCATGGAAGCCGCTTTCACAGAAAGTGGGGTGCTTTTCTGTGGGCCGCCTCTGTCTGGGCCCCGGCCCAGTGAGTTTGTGCCAACCCTTTAAGTTCTTTCTCGGTTCACCAAGGCCCAGGGTCTCGTGCACAGGAGCCCTGTTGGTTTCGAAAGCTAGATATGGGGCTTGTATCTCAGGTGTAGGCTTTAAAAGTTGGGGTGCCAGATGTGGGGCTCAGATGCTTCTGCCCTCAGGGAGAAGCTTGGGCTTGGTCACTGTGCTGGGATAGAGTTGATGGTGAGGTTGTCTCAGCCTCTCCCTCCCCCTTCCATGAGGGGCTTTTCTCGTTCGTCTGGTGTGTAGTTTTATTTTAGAAGAAATTGTCTGGACCCCGCTGCAGATTCCGTGTGGCCGTGGAAGGAGGTGAGTTCGAGATCCCCATGTGTCACCATCTTGACCTGGACTCTTAGCTTTTTCTTTTTTTCCTACCGATAAGGTGAATGACATCAGTTGATTTTCAAACGTTGAACAAGTTTGCATTCCCAGGACAAACTGCACTTTGATGCCAGGGAGCATCATTTTTATATGTCGCTGGATTTGGTTTCTGATATATTTTTGAGGGCTTTCGTTTCTATGTTCATGAGGGGTATTGGCCTGTAGTTTTTTTCCCCCTTGAAATATTTTTGTTCAGTTTTGGTATCAGAGTAATGCTGGTCTCATAAAATGAGTTGACCTCATAGAATAGTATTTCTTCCTGTTCTGCCCTGTGTGTGAGTTTGTGGAGACTTGGTATGAAAATTTCCTCATGTATCTGGTAGATTCCCCAGTGAAGTCAGTCATGAGCTTTTTTTGCGGGGGAGGTGTTTAAAATACAAATTAAAACACACACACACACATATACTTTTAAATATATAGATATCAAATATATATTTATCACAAACGTATTGGCTTTAAACAACACAAGTGCTATTATCTTAGCATTCTAGAAGTCAGAAGTTCAAAATCAGCCTCACTGGGCTAGAGTCAAGGTGTGGGCACGGCTGGCTCCTCTGGAGGCCCCAGGGGAGAAGACACATCCTTGTCTTCCCAGCTAGAGGTCACTGCTGGAGGTCACTGCTAGAGGTCACTGCAAGAGGTCACTGCACTCCATAGCTCTTGGGCCCCTCCTCCACCTTCCAGGCCAACAATCAGACCACTCACTCTAGTTTCTGCTTTCTGACTTAACATCGCTTCTGCCTGGGACCCTTTCCCTTTTAAGGGCCCTGTCGACGGCATTGGACCCACCTGGATAATCCAGGTACCCCCCCTCACCTGTGCATCACATCTGCAAGCTCCCTTTTGCCATGCAAGGCCACGTATTCACAGATTCTGGGGATTAAGACATGGACATCTTTTGGGGGCTGGGGCGGGAGAGTGGGATAAGGCATTTTTCTACCTATTCCAGATGGTGTCAAGGAAATCTTTTGTAATATAAC